GTCACGAGGCTTGCCATCGACCAGCATCTGACCGGTAATGACACCCATAGTAGTACGTGTAGCCAAGCAATCCAAGAGAGTCGTTTTACCAGCACCAGAGACACCCATAAGCGCAGTCAAAGTACCCGGCTTGACCCAACCATCAACGTGGTCGAGGATACGGCGAGGCTCCTTCTTGATAGTAATATCGTAGCAGACGTCTTCCCACTGGAAGATGGCGGTTTGGCGTTCGATGATGGCGATGTCGTCGGAGCTGTTCTGAACAGAGGCATTGCGTGCAGGTTGAGCGGCTTCCAGATCCTCTTCGGACTTGCTCTTGGGCGCAGGGAGCTTGTGGCTACGCTGGAAGACAAGGACTTCGCCCTTGGACTTCTTGGCGGTGATGAACTCAGTACCAGCGAGGTAGACACCCATGAGACCGAACATGAAGACCCACATGATGCCGAAGTTGCGCCACTTGTTCTTTGCGTAGTAGTTGAAGGCCGAGTTGATGTAAGCATCACCACTAACGAATGGCTGTCCGGGAACAGAGCCGATGGTCCTGCAAGCTTGTTGAACACCAGAAACGTCTTCGTAGCCGGGGCCGAAAGGAATGAACTCGTTGCACTCAAATTGCCTGTTGTGGAACTCGTTGACCATGAGAGCCTCGAAACCGTAACTGACAGGGTTGATGTAGCGGATCCACTTGGACCAGCCCAGCATGTAGCTGGGAGGGATAGCGAAACCAGTGTACATGACGAGACCCAGGATGAGGATGGCAGCGGGTGCGAGAGCCTGGACAAGAGAGCGGGACAGAGAGGCGATGGAACGGAAGAACATAGACATGACGAGCGTCAATGTGAAGGAGATGAGGACGAAGAAGAAGAAGTTGCCGGGCTCTCGTCGGAGGTTCGTCATGAAGTACAGGACCAGGTTGAAGGTGATGGAGTTGACAATCTTGTATGGCATGTCGGTCAACATACTGGCAAAGGCTTCAGCGGACGGGTGGTACAAGGCGTAACGAGAGTGCTTTTCAACAATGGGACGTTGAGCGTAAAGGGTCAGAATCTCGAGGGCGGAACCGAAAGCGTTCATCAGGATGGCGAAGAAGAGAAGGGCGGATCGAGAGTAAAAACTGGAAGTGGTAGGCTGGAGGTTGTAGAAGACGGACGAGATGACAAGACCCATGATGGAGTTGGCGATGAGTTGCGTGATGGTGATACTGGGGTCAGCCTTCAAGCGAACGAAGCCTCGCCACAAGCAAAGCTTAACCTGCTGCATGTACGAGAGAGTGTATGGGGACTTCTCGCGCTGACCCTTGGCCTTCTGCAGCTGGCGCGATTCCTTGAAGCGCTGGCCAGCCTCGCCACCAATGGGGTACTTTTGCTCGTAGGCTTCGATCTCTTGAAGGAGAGCTGCTCGCTCTGCGGATTCGGCCCAGCGCTGCGCGAACTCATCCGGAGTGCGTGGGACACGGTTCTCGAAGCCCTCGCGAACAATACGCTCCAAAGGACTGGTCATGGAAGTCAAGAAATCGGCATCGGTCTGACGGTCAGGGCAGAGGAAACCCATGTTGACGAAGAAGGCCTTCGCGTCGGTGGTCTTTCCGAAGAAGATTTGGCGACCCTCGTAGAGCACAAGTACCTTGTCGAAGAGGTCGTAGGCAGCCTGAGGTGCTTGGTAGATGGCGACACACGCAGTGGTACCGTTGATCTCAGTCTCCATGCGGAGGGTCTTGCAGAATTCGATGGCGTTGGCGGAATCAAGACCACGGGTGGAGTTGTCCCACGCTTGCAGTGGCGCTCTGCTGAGGGAGGCTTCGGCGATGGTAACACGCTTTCGCTCTCCACCAGAGACACCACGAAGGAAGTCGTTACCGACGCGAGTGTTGACGGTGTGAGAAATTCCATACAAAGCCATGATGACATCGCGCTGGTGCTCGGCGTACTGCTTTACACTGACGCCGCCTGGAATGTTCCTCGGCCGACGAGCTTGAGCAGCAAAGTAAAGAGTCTCTCCAACAGTCATCATGGGGAAATGAACATCGACTTCGGCAGTGTAGATGGCTTCACCGCGGTAGTTCTTGTTCATGAGCTCTGGGCTGACACCCTGGTAGTTGATGTGCGAGCTTGAGTCGACGACAAAGCCGTGCGTCTCTCCAGTAATAGTCTTGAGGAAAGTCGAGCAACCAGATCCAGGAGGTCCAAGAACGACCAACATCTCGCCAGCCTCGACTAGACCATCACAATGCTGCAGAATGTCGATCTTGCGGCCCTTGTCGCCCATGATCTTCTTGACGAGCGCAGGTCCATCTAGCCACACGTTACCAACAGTCTTCTGGTAATCGGTGTCGGTTCCGAAACCGTGAACGTTGAGATCGCGGAAAGATACACCAGCCGTTCGTGTAGGGGGCGCATTTTCGTCATTCAGCTGTAGGTTGAGCATAGCCTTGGTCCATGCTCGTGCGTTGAAGTGCTCGCCATGGGGGTCCAGAGCGGAATTGGGTGCCGCGTTGAAGGGATTTTGGTTTGCTGCAGATTGTTGACTCTGCGAGGTAAGTCTGCGGGCCAATTGGTGAACAGCCTCTTCTCTCCGAGCAGCCTCGGCGATTTCGTCGGCGTCATGTGTGTTGTAGTTTCCATCCTTGCGGTCGGTGTGGATGTTATGACTTTGCGGCGAGCCCTCGACAGCTGCTATTGTGGATGCATCTGACTCTGCTTGCTCGTTGTCGTTGTAGTGGGAAGGCTGTCTGCCGCCCATCTCTGGTGGTGGAACGCCGCCGGATACAGCCTCGCGGTCCATGTTGGTTGTGAAATTGCCGACTAGACTCATGGTGGGCGAGAGATCGCCACTTGGGGGCAGAGATTAGTCAGGCGAAGGAGAAATGCAAAGAGGGACAGGTATTAAAAGGTAGTAGAGTGTGTATGGCAGGGACAACAAGGCCAGGCCGGGGGGATGAGGTAGATGATAATAAAGGTAGCAGCAGCTACTGCTAATGAGGACCCAGGCGCCGCCCCAGTAAAGGATTTGGTCCAGCGGGCGGCGGACTGACGGCTTGGCTGGCGAGGACCAGCGCGCCGGATGGCCTGCCTGTCCGTCTCCGGTTCGCTTGCATCGAGTGCGCTAGTGTCACGCCTCGGATACGGTAAATACGATACCTACCCATAAGGTCTTCCAGCCAATCAACGCGTACACACTACGGCCACGCGATATCGACTCATTCTACATCCACCACTGTCGTTTCGCGAAGAACGGTCCGAACAAAGTTACGTCCGTCGTCGTCGATCGCCGTTCGGCCATGCGGCTCTGAGTGCCCTCTCTGGTAACCACAGCTGTACACTGTCCTCTGTATACAGCACCACATCCGAGCTAGTTCGTCCGACCAACGCCCGCGGCTGCCCCTAAGCCTTGGCCAAGCTCACATGCAGCCCATTTGCCCTCTGCGATAAGCGAAAGAGAAAGCGAATCCCCGCCAGGCCCCTAGAGAAAAAGAAGGTCTTACAATCGACTGTCTCAGGCAATCGAGGGCTGCACACGCCATCGCAACACTGCTCGCAACCGACAGAAACAAACACATCAACACTGTACCTCATCTTGACGTCGTGCATCTCCGTTTCCCCTGCGCATGCTTGCACACCGCGCCAATCAAACGCACCCCGGTACGCCCCTCCCAAACGAAAGAGCCCCAGACCCCTCCCTCGCACAAGCACAGCGGACGAAAATCGCAGATCGCGAGATTCAGGGTGAAGGCAGAGTGGATCCAGCCCCCGGAGTGGTTGCGTGGCCATCTGCTCGGTGTTGGCTCTGCATCCGGTTCGACCTGCCGTTTCGTGGTGTTGTGGTGGCTTTTCAAGGTTGCCCGGGTGTTTGTGCTTGCACCATCTTTCTAGCGCGGCTTCGGCGGCGGATGCAGCGTCTTCCGTGGGACCGGAAGACGTTCAGCCCTACCCTGACACCTGCCATGTGCGCGGCACGGTGCTGGTTCAAAAGGCTTCCGGGTCCCGTTGCTTCTCGATACTGATTCTGGAATCTCCACTGCTGACTGCGGCTGCTTATCGTCGTGCCGCAAGAGAGGGTCTGTGAGGTCGTTGGTCCCCGGGATACGGCGAGGATAGCGGATCTTGGCCTTTCCGATCGCCGGGGGCTGGTCTGTTGACATATACCTCAAATGCGCGCGCGGTATGTTGTTGGTATGTACTGCTGACTGTGCGCGCTTTTTCGAGCTCGTATGCCGTTTAAACGGTGTGCATCTTACGACTGCTTTGTGCCGGTCAGCGTTGGCATGTTACGCCCCGGGTAATATTTTGCCACTCACAGTCATCTAGGCAGTCATCAAGCCATCGATCGAGCTACTGGACTTGCGATAGGTTCAGTCAGTACTTGGCCTCTTATCTGCAGACGCCGGATATTTCTCAACGATCTGACGATTTCCTCCCGGCTGGGAGTCAGGCAGCGATTCAACATCACCAGTACGACCAGCCGTTGCCCAAATTATCGCGAATACAACAAGATGGCCAAGAGTGCGACACTGGAGCCTATATCACGGTAGCATCCTTACTCAGACGTTCGTCAATTCCCACCGGTCGTATGCTGTGCAGCCCGTTAGACTTCTACCGAAGAAACGACATGGCGATGTCTCACGAATGCAGGATCGACCCGCTGGATTTATCCAAGACGACGGAGACGTGAGAACCTATATATGTCGTAGCATTCAAAGTCGGGGACATGAAGGGGTCCGGCTTACTATTGCGTCTTCCCTCCGCACAGATCCGTCGGTCCGATTGTGCACCCAGATATATCTCTAACGTTGCGGGACGGCCTGGGGTAGTGCTGATGAGCTTATCGAGACAACCGACGGCACGTCTGAGCAATGGCCATGTCATTCTTTCCAAGATTCATTGTCTCATGATGACTTGAATGAAATTGAGTGTAAAACACATGCCGTGAACGTACACAGTATATCCATCCATAGATCTAAGAAATTTCAACTCACATGCAATCTCCCCAACCCATTTCCCATCTCACAACTTCCCCTTCTCCTTCCCCTTCTCCATCCCCTCCCCCTTCTTCTTCGCCAACGGCCTCAAAATACACTGCTGCGTCATACTAGCCACACACCTCCCCCCCTCATCCCACACCCAACCCTCGCCAAAACTCCTGCCCTCACCCGCAACCTTACACCTCAACTCCCTCAGCAACCACCCCTCATCCAATTTCAACTCCTCCGTATCCACAAACAGCCTCAAGGAGAAATCCAAACTAGACACCGCACTCGCATCTCCAAACCACATATGATTGAACGACAGGGGTAAGAACGCGATGCCCAGATCCATGAGAAAGGTCAGGGATGTCATGTTATCGGTAGTGGTGGGAAGCTGTTCTCGGCTGCGGATCCAGTCCGCGGTGCTGCGCTCCGAGGGCGCGAGGGTGTCTTGGGTGTGCGGTGCTGAGGCGGCGATGCCGTAGAGGTTCTGGGTGAAGACGCTGTCGGGGACGAGGCGTTGGTCATAGAAGTGGGAGATGAGATTGAAGCTCTTTTCGTGGGCTTCTTTTAACTTTTTGGGGACGGTGCCTTTCTCCACTAGCGCGGTGAAGGCCGCCTCCGGTGTAGGACAGTCGCGCCAGTTGGGGTGGGTGTGGGATTGGGAGTAGGATAGGAGGGACGTGGGCGAACTGATGATGAAATCGGCGGTTGCGAGGAGGCATATTCTGCTTTCTTCTTTCTGGCCGTCTTTGGGAGTGGTCGTTTGGCTTACTTCGACTTGGCGCGTTGCAAATGTGCGGGTTTGGCGTACTACTCGTACGCTGGCTCGGAGGGGTCGGTCGGTATAAGCTGGGCCTAGGTAGTTTCCTTGGAGAGAGTAGAGGTTGTAGCCGTCTGGTACGGTGAGACAGGCTGCTTTGCAGGCTACGGCGATGGTGTAGCCGCCGTAGGCAATGTCCAGTGGATTGCCCATTTTCTGAGGGAAGTTGATCATTTCGAATTCGTTTTCGCCGGTTTGGCGTAGGGCTAGTTGCTCCATGAAGGGCTTTTGTGGGGGATTGGGTTGGTTGGTCATCTTGGTTGGATGGAGAGGTTTGACGTGTGTTGGGTGTGGCGAAAGTGTCAGGTTGGTGTTTGAAGTGTTAGCAGGCAACGCTGATCTGGTGCGTTGATTTTAAGATGGCAAATCTCTAATGACAAAGCTTGTGATCAATGTATATATGTTATTGGGGATGTTGCGGCCGTTGCGGCCGTTACGGATGGAAGTCGTGCCGCTAGCGTGCTGCACCAATCATCTAACCTCGGCAGGACTTCCCGCTGGTAAGCAGCCCCTCACCTCGATCAAGGTATCGTTGCGAAGTGCTCTCCAGCAGCAGTAACTTGGGGTATGTATGGAGGAGGTCTTGAGCAATAGTTTGATCAGTTGATAATATACAACATACAATTACCCTACATCACCAAATCCTCTTAGCAACCATCGCATACCGACTGACATGCCCAAAGCTTGTCCCTCTCTCCCTCTCCTCTGCCTCCTTCTTCCTACCCTTCTCATCTCTCTCCCTCAATCTCTTCAGCGTCTCAGGATCATCGTCGTAAATCACCTTCCTCTTCTCCTCGTCTACATCCACAACGCCCCACCCCCCGATTCTCTTACCCCCAGTCTCCACATTCATCTTCTCTCGTTCCTGCATACCGTGGTACCGTTTGCGGCTGACGGATAGGAGGAGCATGCCGAGGATGAGTTTGAAAGCGAGGAAGATGAGGTAGCCGACGAGGAAGACGATGAGCATTGTTGAGCCGGCGATGAGATCGTCGAGGGTGTAGGAGAGTGGATTATACCAGGCTTGCGAGGGGATGCCAGCGCCGAAGGAGGAGCGGCCTAGGGCTCGGCGGAAGACGTGGTCGATATGTGCTAGTGCTGCGGTCGTTGTGGGGGAGGAGGTCGGGTCGGAAGAGAGGGATGTTGATGTGGTGTGGAGAGGTGGCGGCATGTGCATGGCGATGAACATGTGATAGGTCTGGATGGCGGCACGTATGAAAAGACAGGACAGTGGTATGACTGGCAAACCAAGACGTCGTGTCAAGTCTGCATCAGCAAAGGCCTGTGAGGTGTTAGTAAGCACACTGCCAGAGATTGAGACGGCTTACGTTAGAATAGTAGTCCTTTGCCAGAACGTCGAAGAACTTGCTATACACCTCTGGCTTGTACTGATTGAACTTGGTAATGTACGCATGCTTCAGCCAATCGACAAACATCTCGCTACCCAACACCAGCAGGAACGGATTGAGTACCTGTGCAATGTACTTTGGAAAGATAGTAAAGCTCATTGGTATGATACTCGTAGCCTTGAACGCGGTCGCAGAAGACGCATTGGCAGATCCAGTGAACATGGCCGTCCAAGAAGTGTCACTGCTTTGGATACTCAAGCCACCAACTTCAACAACGTTGCGCATTGCAATGATGAGAAGCATGAGCCAGAGCTGGAAGCGCTCTACGATATCTGCGCAGGTAATCTGGAAAAGGTTCTCCTTTTCAAACTTCTTGAACACCGTGCCCTTGATTTCGACGAATTGGTTGGACATCAAGAGCGTCAGTAGTGCGTTGGAATAAGAGTTGACGGCCACGTTGAGCGTTATCACTTGGTAGAACAGCGCTGTAGCGTGGGCGACGGTGTATACCAGTGCAAGTGCAAACATTCCAAATGGACGGAGGACCTTACTTCTGCCGTCGGGATTACGGTCCAGCGTCTCGCGAGAAAAAAGGCATTCCAGCACATCCTGACCGACGGCTGAGAGCAGGCGATCACAGACCTCGAGGACGTTGTAGATGACATAGAGCTTGATAGCTGACTGTCCGCGAATGCCATGGTACATGCGACTGGCATCGAAACGCATCAGAACGAAGCAGCTGGCAATGACCAGTAGACCCTTCAGTATGTCTGCTTTGTGGCTTGGTTGTAACGTAGAAGGCGTGGACTTGGTACGGCGGTGACGGAATCGGGAGTTTCGAGGCCGGCGCGCTCTGAGCTCGTTCATGTCTGGGAACTTGAATGTCGTAGACATCTGAGGGTTCTGCCTAGCTGTGGTGTTGGCTGAGGGAACAGTTGAGGAAGATGGCTTCCGCGACATGGATGGAGGCACCTCCTCGGCGGGAGTTGGGAGTGGTGTAGGGCCATCGATCTGCTTTCTGCGTTGCCAAAGGCGAGGAAGACCGTCGTAGACAAAAGCCCAGAGATCGCGAAACTCTTTCACAATGACCGAGCCCCACCATTTGACCAAGATGGCAATAGCGAGCAGAAAGCGGAGGGGCAGAATCGTCAAGACGTGCATCCATGCATCTAGACAAGCTAGCGCTCCAAATCCAAGTATGCCCTCGATCTTCAACGGTATTCGCAGGAAGTTGAGCAAGCGCTCGTACTTAATCTCGGATGTTTCATATGGAAAGTCTGTCGTCGCTGGGCGGTATATGTACAACGGGGAGGGACGGCTCGCGGAGAGTTCTAGGGAAAGAAAGGTAGGCATCGACATTGGTGGCAGCGGGAGGGCAATTGGTGTCGGAGAGACCTGCTCACGTATCTCGCGCGCCTCCTTGTGTCGGTCGTAGCCCTTGGACGTGCCATCTCTGTGGTCCAGACTCAATGGCGGAGGAACATGCCTGCTATGCCTCCGATCTTCTGTCTCTTGTGTCTGATTATGTGTTCGGGAGCGCGACCTTGACGTGGTCCTCCGTGGGAGCGAGGGCGTGGTAACAGATCGTGAAGAAAGCACCGGGCGGCCGTTGCGCAACTCGGTTGCCGGTGTCTTGATCAGGACGACTTCCTTCTCGCGCGGCCCTTCCCGCCCTCTTGAGCCCTTTCCTCCCCTCCCCTCGCCATTCAGCTCCACCGGCCGCTCCAGCACGACGCCCAAGAGCTTGTTGCTGCCCTGGCCATCGCCATCTTCCAGCGGTGTGGCGTCTTCCAGCTCGTCTTCGAGAATCGGCGTAGCTGCTCGGATGGGAATGCTCGCAGGTTCACTCGTGAGTTCCTGAATCTGGCGGGGACTGAGCTTGAGAATCTTCTCGTGCTCCGACACGCTGCTCCTCCGCCGCCCATCTCCCGGTCGCTTGATAGGCCGTATCTTCTCGCTGGTGTCGGAGAGAATGGCCTCTTCGTGCACGCTGGGCCTCCTGCTCGGCGCACTGGAGCTGATTGCGCTGTTTGGCTCGGCTTTGGCGCCATTCGTCATGTTCTGCAGCGGTTCCTCGCTTTTGGCTTCATGGGCGCGGCGGCCACTCGGAGGTGCCACATCATCCGGTTCGGGCGTCGAGGAAGGCGTGGGGAGCTGGCCCGTCGTATGCAATTCACCGTATATCCGTGTTTCTGCCCCGTTCATGGCGTGAGGGGCTGGAGTTGCTGGTTGAGGGCATCGTGTATTGCTCCTCGTGGTGCTGGGCAGTCGCGACGTGTTCGGGTCGAACCGAGGATCGGGAAGCACCAACACTAAGCAGACCCCGGCCACCACCAACCTCGTACCCTCAACAGCCCATCTAGGTGAAAGTACTTCCAACGATTTCGTTCTGGATTAAAGTCTATAGGAACAATGCGCCACACCTTCAATGGAGGTCTATGATCTAATACTCCACCTAGGCGGCCTGATTGCCTTGGGCCAGATGTTTTCGCCTGCCTGGCCTGTGAAGGTCGATACCAATGACAGCGAGCCAGGTCACCGCCAGGACAAGAAGACTCACTGGTCTCGCAGTTCACATGGCAATTGGTAGCGATGGTAACTCACAGGTACTCATCGGGTGTTGGTGGAAGCGAACGTTCAGAGCTTGTCTTCGTATCTATGACACCTTTGACAGAAACCTGCATCAAATATGGAAGCAACGCGACCTCGACATTCAGAAAAGGGTCCATCCATCTTCAGTGCTATCATATCCTCGTTTACAATTCTACTTGTCGACTGGAGCGACGTGAGCATGATCACCGCGTTAGTTGTAGTCAAGACAACAGAGGGAAACCGACCCTGGAGGCAGTGACGAAGGTCTTCTTGGTGCTCCCATCGTGTTGACTAAGAAGAGAAATAAGAGGGCGAATAAACCTAATGCTTATAGCCGGATGAGGAGTGAATTGTTCCAATCGACGAGTCTACCACATTGCTCGTTGCCGGCCTCAAGGATTTCTTGCAAGACTGACTTCAAAGAAACCAGACAAGAACGTCTGATGCAAACAGCCGGATTACGCCTCGCGCCGTTCCGGCCGACCCCGTCACATCCCTCCCTCCCAGATACGTTGGAAGGGTTCTTTGACAATCCGGAGATGTTTCGGTATACGAAGATCTCGTCAAGGCCTGCATCCAGACCATCTTAGACAGACTTTCTTCCGCAGACCTCGACTGTACGTCGTGCAACATATATGCCTGCTTACGCCATCTGCATGCTCGACTCGACCGCAACCAGATCTTAGTGTATCACCGCACTGCACATCAATATAAAAGAAAGATGGTATAGTTTGGCTACACTCTATGCGTTTTCAACGCCGCGAAGTGCGCTATCTGATCGACTCAACTTCTTTCCAGCTTCTATTGACTGCGCATACAGCCGAATCCATGTCCGCATGCGCCGTACTACCCGAACCTCGTATTCCTCACAAGCACGGAAAGCTACATACAGCATCAAGTTTGGTACGCCTAAACTCACAGTGGATATGATATGGCAAGGGTCAGCATGTGTAGCTTATCGTAAGCAGACTTCTGTAGCTATCCACAGGTTCATCCATGTTACTGACACACCACATGGCATCTCGCACAGCAGCCCGTACTACAACGCTACACTAGACATCAACGACACCAAAACTCTTATCCCCAGGGTCAAGTGAAAGACATGCTTTTGCGAAGCTATACCAAACTCATAGTATGCTGCCTTAAAAAAGCAAAGGCAACCTCCATGGGTGCCCGTCGATCAGCACCCGATCTACGATATCCTTCATGCACGACACCTTCAGCTTCTTCTAGAATCGCCACTGGGCCGCTCGAGGAAGTATTCTTCCGTCCAATAGTTCCATGTTTGGGAATCGGCAGATCGCCATGGTCGGC